GCTGGGCTCGGCCCCCACGCCCGCCTTGGGTGCCCTGCCAAGCGACTTTGTGCCTCCTCTAGCTGCACCATTTGCCCAGCCCCTTGGCTATGCTGCCCCAGCTCCACCGCCTTTTCTACAGCCCTCCCCGAATCCCTTCACCCAGACACTGCCAGGAGCCCTCCCCGTGTCCCTGGTCAGACCCCCGAGGGGCTCCTTCACCCACTCCTTAGGTCACGCATACAGCTCCAGCTTCATAACCCCCACTGCCGGCTTCTACCCGCCACAGAGACCTCAGTCCCACATGGCCACACTGTCCATGCCAAACCTGTTCAGCCAGGCTCCAGCTGTACCAGCAGCTGGCTCCTTGCTCCTGCAGACCCACAGCCCTTCTCCCACCAGCTCTCTCCAGCCAGTGTGTCTGGGTGGTCCCTCCAAACCCCGAACGTTACAGGTGGGCCAGCCCAGCACAAAGGTAGATCCCAAACAAGCCCTGGCTCTCCTGGCCAGTGAACCCCCTCTGGTCCCTGCTAGGCCAGCCAAGGGCTTGGAGTCGTTGTTACTGTCCTCAAAATCTGAGGAGACAAAAGATCCATTTGAAGATCTGTTAAAAAAGAGCAAGCAGGACGTGTCACCCACACCAGGTAAGGTGGAGCAGCTCAGAAAGCGATGGGAAACCTTTGAGTGACGCACCCCATGGCCTTGGTGTCCTTTTGGAAGTGACAGAAGGATTTTTTGGTTTTTTTGAGCCAGCATAAAACCAAGCATTTCTTTTAAGGAAGGCTGAGCCAGGATCGCTGCAGGACCATCACTGAGCTGCACCTCAGCACGAGAGCTTTTTGCCCACAGGTCAGAGTCCCCCATTGTCCCAGTCCCTGACACTGCTCCCTCACTCCCCGCCACCAAACCCTGGGATTCCTGCACTGACCAAAGCGTGAGGGGAGGTGGGGTGGGTTGGGATTTCCACACACAGCTTTTCAGGCAGCACTACTGATGCACAAGTTACTCCCTCCCTGTATTTTCAGTCCTTGGCACACCTGGAGCGTGACACAGCCCGCTCTGCTGAGGTTCGTTCCTGCCGCTGGGAATGGGCCTCAGTTTTTCTGGCAATACACAGAGATACAAGGTTTTGTTTCCACATGCAAAGCGCAGCAAACCAGCCTGACTTGTGGGCTGCACTGAACTGATCATCAGTCTCTGTTTGTGCTCCTTGCACCCCAGCCACTCCCGGAGCTGTGCTGTCAGAGGGACTTTGGTGGCACTTTTGGCTCCCCCCGTGAACACCGACAGCCAGGGCAGAGTTGTCACAGGCCTGGAAACCACAGCACAGAGCAGCTGCTCAGGGATTGGTCCTGCATCTCTGTTGGGAAACTGGAAACACCAGCAATTGTTTTCATTTTTTTGACTTTGTTTTTGTTAAATACATCAGAAAATAGAGGCCATAAAGAGTATCCTAGTTCTTATATATGTGTATCTTAATATTATCTATCAATATTATAAATTACAGTATATGAATGGAATGTAACAATATCTTACTTGATTATTACAAACAAAAAAAGAGAAAAATTTTGGGGTATCAATGTTCCCAGCTCCTGAGTGCAGGTGAAGGCTGGTGTGCTGAGGGGCTGAGGGCAGGGCATGGCCAGGAAGGGGGATCTGGGCTCTGTGGCCTCGCTGGAGCCTCGGGCTGGCCCTGTCTGGCCCGCGAGGAGCGCAGGGGACGCTCAGCTGGGTGTTCTGAGCCCCCTCTCTGTGTTCTCCAGACATTTCACACAAGCCTCAGCATCCCCCAGGACAGCTGCTGTCTCTGATCATTTCTGTTTCACTTCAGTGGTGCTTTTTTGGTTTGTTTTGTATTGGGGCACACTCTGGTGTAAAACCTGTCACTCTCGCAGAGGGAATCACATCACCATTGAGCCTTTGATAAAGGAAATCATCTTGGACACATGGGGAAATTCTTGTAAAGCTTTATCTGATTTCCAATGTATCTATTTTATTCATGTTATCTTGGAAGTTTTCTTACTCTGGGGAATGGGAATGGCTGTCTCTGTGTTTGAGGCTGGGCGGTACAAAAGGAAAGTAATATCTGAAATGCTGCCGGTTTTGGGAAGACCACAGTATTCCAGGAATATTCTGTTTCTGTACAGTGCTGTTCCTCTGACAAGCCATTCACTTGGATTTGTATTTTCTTTTTGTGTTGAAAGACAGATGGGTTTAGTATTGAATAGTAAAATATTTAAAGTCTAAGATACCAGGTCCATTTTATTTGATACAGTTCAGAGTAAGAATGTTATATATAATTCAGTCTGGCATTGCTTTGCTATGAGCTGGATGTGAACGGGCACTGGACAATCCAGCCTGTGCCAAGCTGGGCTCCAGAGGCCCTGTTTAAACTCAGTAATGTCACACAGTGATCAGACAGCCCATCACAGTGCTTTAAACCACTCAGGAAATTCTGTCCCACTGCAGTTCATTTCCATCTCTGGTTACTTTGCCCATGTTATATATCATTTGCTAAGTCAGTTTTGGGGCACTGAGGAGTATTAACACACATTTATTCACCCTCTACTTTATTTAGCACCTCTGAGATGCTGGAGGACAAGGAATTTGTGACTTCCCTCACTTCTGGAGAGGGTTTGCAAGCAGGAGACTTTTCTAGGGGTTTATTGTAACGTAGGAATTGAACTATGCCTAGGACAGCATTTAGGGATGTTTTTTGTCTTATTTAAACTCAGGAATGCCTGACATGATTCACTCCTGATAGTGCCAGGTGTCAACAGTTTGCTTGCCAGCTCTGGTTTGGCACTAGAAGGCATTGGATGTTTTTATTAATCCAGTATAAAAACTGTTCCTGGGCTTACTCGTCAGTGACTTTATACTTGACTTTGTCCCTGTTCTTGTACCTGCCCTATGTTTGATACCACTCTGCTTATTTACAGCTGCTTCCTGCCATAAGAAATAAGTTTATTTTAAAAACAAACAGACAAGAAAAACCTTTTCAAAGTTTGTGGTGCATCTGCTGCTGCACAGGAGGTGAAACCACTTCTGTATCTTGTTCACCCTGGGTGGAGCCTTCAGTTCACTGCACATGGACAGTGCAGTCATTGGACACAGAGTCCCTTTTTCCCACATTCTGTGAGGTGAACAGAGGGCAGAGGTGTTTCCTTAGCTCTGTCCTGCTGCTGGGCAAAGCTCTGCACCCTGGCTTGTGCTCAGGGCTCTGGGCTGTGACAAATCATCACAAAATGAATCCTTTAACTGTGAAGAGCCTTCGAGGTTTGCAGCTGTGCAGGGGCTGTGGCACAGACCATGATCAGCCATCCAGACAGCAAGGTGTTCTTGGGGAAAAACATGCACAAGTCAACAACCAGGTCTGTTTTTAACCAAATTTTATTGTAAATTTCTTTTGAAGGACATTCTAATTATTTACAAATTACAAAATTTACAATTAAAAAAGAAATCAGGATCAGGATCATGATCATTAACTACAGCAAGTCCAGTTTTGTGAAAAAATATATTCAAAAATTAAATATCAAAAGAAAGTTCAGTTCATTATTGAAAAAACAAAAACAACCACCTTCCATAAATTATTTTGCAGAAATGCTCAAGACACTGACAGAGTTTTTAAACACCTTTGCTAATACTGGCTTTGGGTGCTTGGAACGCAGCCCCAAGGAGCTGCTGCCGGGGCACGGCCGGACCTGCCGGGGGCTCCAGGGATTTGGACCTTCCAGGGAAGTGCAGGAGGAGCTCGGGGAGCTCTGGGAACATGGCCTGGTGTTCAGCACCCCAGGGCTGGAGGAACAGGGGCTCTTCCAGATCCTGCTGCAGCCTCAGTGTAAACACCAATGAGGAGTGGAGCAAAAAAGCAGCAGCAGGACCTGCCCTGGGGTGCCGGGGTGGAGGTGGCAGAGCCCCCCGAGCCCCCAGGAGGTTTTTGTACCCCCTGGGCTTCAGGAAACCACAGGGGCTTTGCCTGGCAGCACAGGGGCCCCCAGGCCTGTGCTCAGCCCTGCTCCTGTCAGGAGCCCCCAGCGTGGGGCAGGCCCAGCTCTGCTGCAGAGCCACAGGAAAGCCCTGCTGGCACAAGGGCACCGGGCAGTGCCACTGGCTCTGTTCCCAAAGTGTGCCAGAGCTCCCCAAGAGCAGCAAACCAGTGCCAGAACAGCGGCAGCAGTCACTGCTGCTGAACAGGAAAGCAGCCACGGGCTCCCACCTGCAGCCAGGGCCTCTCTGGCACTGCCAGCTCCAGCTGCCTCCCCCACACAGCCAGCTGCAATCACACCTTCCACTCTTCTCCACTACCAGAGGGAAAGTGATCTGAAATACTGTCTCCCACTCCTTTGTCTTTTTCTATTTTCTAAAATTTTCATTCTTCTGTCAGCAGCTGCCTGCTGCAGAGACCTGTTCTTACACACACTGTTCTTAAATGGACACATGTGAGCAGTAGTTCCATGCCCCTCCCTTTGCTTGGAATTACAGAAACATTTACAGCTACAGTAGAAAAAAAATAAATCCAAAAGCAGACCAGAATAAAGCATTTTCCTGTGGCAATGAGCTACAGCAGGCAGGTTCCCACCCTGATTTTTAATAGTATTTTGGAGATTAAAAAGCTGACAGAGTTCTAAAATATTCCTCATTGATAATTGTAGTGATTATCCTGAAACACTAATGGCTTTAGACCTTACCTGGCCTGCTGTGCTGCATTTCCTTCCACAGCCTCTGCCACATTATGCTAAAGAGGAAACAGCACATTCCACAGCTAAAACAGTAACACAGAAGTGAAGCCACAAAATCAAACCTCTTTTTAGTGCAGTGGAAAGCAGATGCTGTGTCACTTACACCAACCCTGGTTTGGGTTAAAGGATTAGTTAACTAAATTCCACTCTTCCGCACCAACAAGCCCAAACCTGGCAATCCAGAGGTCACTTCTAGAACTCTCCATTCTCCCCTCCTCACCCCAGCAAGTACCACCTGATGCTCAGCCCCTGGTTCTCACAAGGGTCAGCTCCAAGCCCCTGCTTGGGGAGTGGCAGAGCTGGATCAAACAACATGGAAACATCCTCTTTTCATAAAGGTTAAACTAGAACTGGCACCTCAGGATCAGAAAGGCACTTAAAATATTCCTGTGGTTTGGGCTAGTCTCAGGGAAAGCTCCAGCAGCCACGTCCAGCACAGCCCAGTGAGGCCATGCCGGCTCTGGCCCAGCTGGAAGGGCGGCAGCAGCTCTGGGAAGGATTTCCCACCACTCACTCACCTGGCTTAGCCTTGCAGAGGAGCCACAGGCACGTGTCTTCTTGAAAAAACCTTATTATCCACATTATTTCTGAATACCGTGGTTTAATTCCCATTCGCCGGGCCTGCCTCAGGGTGTTTTTCCTGTTGCCTGCAGGAGCAGGGGCCCAGCCGGCTCTGGCTATGACACAGCCCCATCTTCTGTCCGTGTCCACCCTGTGCCACGGCCACTGCTCCCTCCCCTCCTCCCCTGGTCCTCCACAGTGGGGTTTTCCTCCCGGGCAGCTTGTAGGAACGCTTTGTGGATGAGCTGCAGGGGCAGGGCCAGCGGGCAGTGCCCCCCGGGCAGCGCCTGACCCGGCCTCAGATCAGCCGCTCGGTCGGGGGCATCTTGATCACGTTCCACATCTCCACTCGGGCCCCGTCCTTCTCCTGCCGGCTCGGGCTGTAGGTTCCCTGAGTCGCTCTCCTCCTCTTCATGGCAATCGCCGTGGCTACGAGCACGGCGAGGAGCAGGGCAGCCCCCGCAGCCCCGACTGCTCCCACCACGGAGGAGTGGCTGAGGTGCGCCCACACTCGCTGCTGCGGCAGAACAGGGAGTTACCGAGCAGGGCAGGAGCTCCCCACACCTGGCCCCTCCCGGCCCCGCGGAGCCCAGGAACGCCCAGGAGGCTGGGGACCCTTTTCCTGCTCCCCTCTCCCCTCCCTGCACACCCAAAGTTCAGCATCTGGCAGCTCCAGCACTGCCCAAAGCCCCGGAGTGCCGCCTGCCCCTTCCCTGCACGGTACCCGTGGGAATGTCTAACAGCACCACGCCATTCAACACTGATTTTTACAAGGGTTTTGATCATTCCTGACAATTCCCTGTAACGCAGGGCTGTCACAGGGAGGTCACAGCTGCTGTTGCTGTTGAGGACTCTGAAAACCTCACACACCTGAGCTGAGAGTTTGAATGTTTTTCAGCTGTTGACAGAACCAGAGCAAAATATACAAACCAGCCACGACCTCCCCCAGCTCCTGAGCGGGACTCGGGGAGCTGAGCCTGCACAGGTGCCTCGGGTCACCCTGCCTTGGAAAGCAGAATTAATGTGCCTCTCCTGCCTGGGAGGGGACTGGAGCCAGCGCCTCTTGAGCTGCTGCTGAGATGAGCGCTGGCCGGTCCGGGGCAGGGCAGGAGGGAGGGCGGAGGCTCCCTTGGAGCCCCTGGAGCGCAGCAGCGCCGGGCCCGGCTGGGGCGGCGCTCTCGGCACCGCTGCCCATGCCGGACGTCCTTGTCTTCGTGCCCAGGCCTTAGGGGAACTGGGATGGGGTGGATCTGCCGCTGCCGGGGCTGGGAGAGCCCAAGGTCCTGCAGGTGCAGGTCCTGGGCACGGCAGGGCCTAGATCAGGCGCTCTTCGGGTGGCACCTTTAGGACACTGTCCATCTCCAGCCGAGCTCCTGCCACCTCCTGCTGGCTCGGGCTGTAGGTCCCCTCGGACTGGCGCCTCTTCCTTGCCGTGAGAACCATGAATATGAGACCAATACTGAGGAGCAGCACAGAGCCACAGGCTACAGGGACAGCTACTTCAATTAGTGGGGAGGGGAAGAGAGCACCTGGAGTCCCTTTCTGTAAAAGAAATTAACGGAGAAACAATGAAACTCCAGTGGTTACAGTAATTGCAATAACTGACCTAAATGGTCAGATTAGAGGGAAAAAAGTTTTTAGAAAAACAAAAAAAAAGCACTTTTTCACAGCAAGGCAGCCTCTTAAGATGTAAATGCCAGTTTACTCAGCATCTACAGTGGGAGTCTTTAAAGGTGCCTTCTTACCAATATCAGACGCAAATTACACAGGTGGCACTGGCAAAGTTGCACCAATGTTGACCAATGTTGTAAAAAATAAATAAATAAAAATATAAAAAAACACCAACTTTAAAGTTAATGCAGAGTAATGTGAATTTTCAGTAACCCCAAAGAATTTCCCCAAGCAGGGGAATGATACTAAAAAAAAGTTCAATGATCCCTATAATGGTGAAGCAGAGAATTGATTAAGCTGTTAAACTGTGAAACAGAATTGCAGAACTTGCAGCAGGAAGGGGAAGATGTTGAAGAGGTCAGGACATGCATGGGAGATGGAGATGATAAAAAGCCCAAGTACTGAGAAGGGAAATGAGAATTCCCTAGATTCTGGTGGACTCAAGGATGGAATGGAAGACAACAACATAACTTAAACAACTGTAGAACTTTTGTCATGAAACAAAGCTTTAAAATTACAATAAGCTTTAAAATACTTCTTATTGCTAACAATGATATCAGCCACCTTACAGCTAAAGCCAAAATAATTCAGGCTGGATTATTTACAGTTTTTGGATGCCATTCAGTCTTTGCTCATGTCACAGAGCAAAGAAAGAACATTTCCAGGGGATCTGGAAGTCCTTCTGCCCTTTTCAAACACCTGAAGTCCAGGTGCATTCCCTGAGCCCGTCCAGGCCCGAGCGCCGTGCGGGGTTAGTTCCAGACTGTGCAGGTTAGTCCAGCACCACAAGGGCCCAGCAGGGCAGCCCCTGGAGCTGCTGCTGCAGGAGGAGAGAGCAAAGGGAGTTCAGCTGAGCTCCAGCTGTCCCTGGTGGCACCGAGCACCATCCCCAGCACCTCCCTGCCCCACCAAGGGCCTGGCTGCGCAGGAGGGAAAGGAAAGAGTGAAGAAAAGCAAGGGGAGGGTGATGAAAATGAATACAGGGAATCCACAAGAAGTGTCCTGGGGCAGAGGAGATAGAGATGCCTGAAGGAGTATGTGCATGCAATCTGGAAATGTCAGGGTGACCTTGGCACGTGCATTAGAGCCCTGGGTAACAGCAACAGCAGCAAACCCCGCCTGGCACACAGCCCTTTCCATGCAGGATGGGTTAGTACATTCCCAGGTTACCCAACAAGCTGCCTGTCCATGCAACGGCTTCCCAGAGAAAGCAGGGGATGGATCCCATCTCCCCCCAGGAAGGATCCCAGCCCCACCCCAAACACTTGGATTATGCACACGGGGACAGCTCAGCTGGGCCGGGGTAGCGGCAGCTCAGGGACAGGACTCAGCTGTTTTACACACACCTGAACCACACTGGCCAACCACACTATCCAACCTCCCTTCTCCAAACATCCATTTCTACTCAGATGATCTTTAGAGAGGGAAGGTGTTTAGTAACTCTTATCCAAGATAAAACACCAAATTCCACTCTCCAGGAACCTGGGTCAAATGCAGGAGTTGGATTACTGTCTAAAGAGTTGTGAAATCTATGGAAGTGTGCAGAGACAGCCCCAAAAGCCATATGGCAGCACATGCAGATACTGAGGAGCATTTCCTGCAGTTGTTTATATGCTGGAGATCAATAAGCAGCAGCACTGCAGAGAGAAAACCATTTAGGATTGCCCAGGTGTGCTTTAGGCAGGACAGGAGCAGGAAGAGCCCCAGCAGAGCCCAGAGGCCCCTGGTGAGAGCAGAGGGACGGGCAGGGCAGTGCTTACGTTGATGTCGCAGCGCTCGCCGGTGTAGCTGGCGCTGCACACGCACTCGTATCTGTTCTCAGAGTCCTGGCACGTGCCCCCGTTCTGGCACGGGTTCGGGTCACACTCGTTTATGTTGATTTGACAGCTGGAAAGGAAGAGTGTGTTGGAATTGTCATATATATTCTTGTCTCATAGAACACAAGATCATCCAGTCAAAAAAACCCCTCTTTTGTTTGAAAAGCACCCATTGCAGCTTCTCCAGGTACTTTCCCCAGAGTCAAGCAACATGAAATTCTCCCCTGTTCACACCAACCCTCTTGTTGTGATTTCTATGGGACTGAAGCCAGCACAGGTAGTGTGCTTGAAAAGACTTGGAAGCAGTTCTCACTGCAAAAAACTGGTGTTGGCAGCTGGATGATCTGAAGCCTCCCTCTGCTCCAAGCAACAGCTCGTGTTCCCATTAGGAGCAGCTGCCTGGCACAAGGACATGGAGGAGGGTGAAGCAGTGGCCCTGCTGTGCCACCACTGAGATCAGGACTGGAGCACTGGAACCCAAAGCAGCACTTACTTCCTCCCAGTGAAGCCGGGTCTGCAGGAGCAGTTGGCTCCCCAGCTCTCCGTGATGCACCGACCACCGTTCAGGCAGGTGAAGTTCTTGCCACACTGCTGAGGGGGGAACGGCCACCTGGGGACAGCAATGGACAGCCTTTAGAGCACTCAGGTTTTGGGGAAGGGCAGAGTGGTCTGGGGCTGGCAAGGGTCATAAACACAGTCATTGGAAGGAGTCATAGGAGGGAGTTTGACACAAGTGAAAAAGGGAATCATCTCAGAAATCAAGAGTATTCCTTGGATCATGCCCAGGGAACAGACAGGAGCTCTGTCACTACTCAGACTTTTCTCAGACAGGCCTGTTCTTGCTAATGAAAATATAGGCAGGGACAGGACAGTGCTGGAATGGTACAACCAGGCCCCAGGAAGGATAATGCCAGTACCAGGTGACAGTCTGCACCAGAATGCAGCAGGAACAACAGGAAAATCATCCTGCATAGATGAGATAACTGACCATGTCAGTGTTTAACTCCATGTTCCATTTGAACTGGCACAAGATGTTTTGTTTAAATCACATAGGAATATGGCATCGGGGAATCAAGTCACAGAGAAGGATGGACATCTTGAGGAGTGCTAGAGGCAAATGACAAAAGGCCATAGTATGTGCCCTTCAAACAGCTCTGAAATGAGATAACCCACATCAAAAGGAAGGACCCTTCTCCTGTACAAGGCTGAGCCCCTGGCAGTGAGTGGACCCAGCCAGCACCTTCAGAGCTTCCAGTAGGATGCTGCTGCACTTCACAGCCCTCAGCCCCCAGTGCCTCCCTGTCACTGCAGAATTTAGGTTCTTTACCTACAAGATGCTTGCAATGAAAAATGTTCCCAAAGTAAAAGTCCCATTTATCTGGAGGCTCCTGTGCCTCCTGTAGCAAGGCAGGCCCAGCACTTACTCGCAGCGAGGTCCGGAGTACTGAGGGGGGCATTTGCAGGAGTATCCGTAGACGCCGTCGACACAGGTGGCTCCATTCAGGCACTGGTGCCGCACGCAGTCGTCCACGTTGATGTCGCACCTCTTCCCGATGAAGCCCCGGAAGCACTCGCACTGGAAGTCTGCCACGGCATCCACGCAGTCCCCGTGGACACAGGGGCTGGGCTGGCAGTCGTCGATGTTGTCCTCACAGCGCTGCCCCGCCCAGCCCGCGCTGCAGCCGCAGCGGAAGGAGTTGAACAGATCCTCGCAGGTGCCGGCGTTGAGGCACGGGCCGGAGGCGCACACGTCAGCCCCGGAGCAGCCCAGCCGGACGCTGCCCGGGCTGGCCCGCTGGAACTGCTCGGGCTGAGGGTACGGCCGGTGGGCCGGGAGGGGCAGGAAGATCCCCCCAATCTGCACCCGGCCCAGGCAGCCGGTGAAATTCTCGGCCAAAACGACCAACGCGTCTTTCTTGAGGAAGTCCAAGTTGCCGGCGCTTCCCTGCAGAGTCGCGTTCGCTGAGCCGTCCAAGCGGAGCAGCCACCGGGAAGAGAGCGCGGCCGGCTCCTCCATGGACACGGAGACACTGTGCCAGGCCCCATCCGCCACGGGCTGCGGGCTCAGGAAGCTGACACCCTCGATGCTGTTCCCACTCCTGATGTCAACAAGCAGGGAGGAATTCTTAATGGCTACCTGGAGGGAATCCACCTCTTCCACAGCCTGAAGCAAAACGGCATCTTCATCTCTGGTTCTGAAGTCCACATGGAGGCTGCTCAGAGTTCTGGTCACAGATGTGTTGGCGGTAAATTCTATGGCAGCATGACCATTAAATGTTGCATTAGCCAGACCTATAAATAAAGGGGGAGAGCATGAGGGATTTCAAAGACAGTTGGTGCCCGGTTTGAGCCAGTCCAATGGCACACCCCTGGCAGGTTCTCTCCCTAAGAACCCCTAAGCTTAGCATGAGCAGGATTACAGGCGAGCTGCTGGCAGCCTTAAAGCTCTTCCTGTTTACAAGTGCACCTCCTGTAATAATATCCAGCTCTTAGGCAGCAATTTTTACTGCTCAGCTGTGCTCTGTCACACCTGGGGCAAGCCCACAGAGCCCATGCTGCCTGCAGCAGTGTGTACCTTGCACCACTCCGTGTCCTTGCAGCATGTGTTTGCATTGCTGTCAACAGCACAAACTGGAAATATCCCTGGAATAGACAAGGACTGGGGGGATTTTCCCAATACACAAGCAGGAAAACAGAACTTACACACATATCCTGCCACAACATCTATGCAGGTGGTGGCTTCAGGACATGGGTCACTTTCACACCAGACTTTCTCTTCACAAAATTTCCCAGTGAAATTTGCTGGACAGCTGCAATGGAAATCATTCCAAGTGACAATGCATCTGCCACCATTCTGACATGGCTCAGACTGAAAAACAAAACAGGGGAATTTAGGGACAGAGTAATTCACCTTGAGGTCTAAGAGAGTTTGGTAGAACTGTGACAATGAATCTGAGCACAAGCCACATTTGAATCAAGAGAGGAAGGAAATGATTTGTTTAATCATTGTTTATTTGTTTTTCAAGAGTGACTCAAGAGCAGTAAGGAAAGCCCAAGGCTCTCTGAACAAGAGATTCCTGAGCCCCTGCTCCCTCCTGTGCACAGCACTGACCAACAGGAACTCCAGAGATTTGGCAAAGAGCAAGGCACAAAAGCACAGGTGAGGAACAGATGAAACAAAGTGTGATGCTCCCAAGAAGCTCACAAAGTTCTGTCAGCAGGACACCCCTAACACCCCACAGGTGTGACAATACTTCAGAGCACCATAAGCAAGGACAAGATTAGGGGGTATGGCCTCCCCATCACCGGGTATGGCACAGAGAGCCAGGCTCTGATCCAAGGGCACATGGAGACAGCTCCTTCAGCTTCTGTTGTTGAAGTGGCAGATTCCTGGGGAAGAGGCTGTTGCACAGTTCGAACAGGATGAAGGGAAGGGCTGGCAGGGTTACAGGTTAGGGAGGGGAGTCTGGAACCTGTGTGGGCTCAGCAAAGTGGAGATGGGCAGCACAAAAGCCACTGCCCAAGTTCTAAAACCACAAAAACTACAGGGGAGCTTAAGAAAACTCAGTATTTAAATTATATGTAGCATATTGAGTGAGGTAAGAGCACAGAGAAGCATGTGTTCTTCAATACATAAAAAAACCTTCTCTTTCTGGTATCAGCAACAGCCAGACCTTTGTGTAAGAGCAGTGACCCCTGCACACACAGAGACAAGACACAGCACATACCTTGCAGGTGTCATCAGAGATGCAGCCATTCACAAGATTTCCAGTTTGAGTCCTATTGAGTTCCTCTGGCAAACTGTCATTCTCCACCTGGAAAAACTGTACCTGGTGGCTGTTGAGTTGCATGTCCTGCAAACAGCCCTTGAAATAGCCCCCCCACAGCTCAGCGCTGTCAGGGTTGGGGTGTCCCCCAATAAACACCTCAGAGCCAGCTCCCAGGGCTTGTGCTGGCAGCTGGCCCAGCTCCACAAATGTGTCTGACTGCAGAGCACCAACAGAGCCTCCCTGGAAAGACAGGGCTACCAAGTGTCTTCTGCCATCAACCAGATTCCCTGGAAAGGTCACAGTGTCCGTAGGTGATGTCTCTATGTTCAGCTGGCCATCCCTCAGGTACAGGGTGAGGCAGGGGCCTGTCCCATTGCAGACCTGCAGTAACAAACCATCGGGCTTCCGGCTCCGCAGGAAAAAGGAGAGGTTGAAGTCTGCACCGAGGCTGTCAGAAAGGCTGAAAGAGGCAAAGCTGGTGGAATTCTCTAGGCCAAATGTTGCTGCTGGGTGCTCTGGAAGAGAAAAGAAACAGCCTTCAGCTCAGAGATAAAGGGAATGCAGCTGGCATGAGGATGCAGCTCCTTAGGAATGGGGCAAATGTTTCTTCTCAATGTTTTCCACATGTGCCAGGGTAACTGTGCTCCTCCCCACAGGTCTGTGACACTAAGAAGTAGGTGAATGTATCCTTGCTTCCTCTGGAGGGCACAAATTCCAGCATCCAAGTAACATGAGAGGGCAATAAAAGTCTAGCAGAGCTCTTGCCAATCCAGCAGATTTACTCAAGGACTTTCGAGATACAGAGTTGCTTTTAAAATTTGTAAATTTGGTAACAGCAGTACATGCCATATTTAGGGCTCAGAAGGGTTGAAAGAAACCCCAATACTAACACAAGCCTTGCAGCAGCAAAAAATGCAAATAGAAATGATTTTAACTCAAAATTGTCAAAGAGCTTCCTATAACATTCTGTAGTTTATCCATAAAGCAATACATTCTTATTTATCCTCAGCTCTGAAGCTCAAGAACAACTTTTCACAATAAAACAACTTCCTTGCTCCCCTGCATTCACACAGATCTCCTAAAAAGGTGAAGTCAGAGCCTCTGGCTCTACAGGAATAACCTGTACCACATAACTGACAGTCATTCCTGCAGGAGCAAACAACAGGAAAGGGATCAATGAGAATTTTATTCACAGTGGCTTTTGCTTTATTTTTTGCCCCGGTCAAATCAAAAGTCCTGTTTCTAGAGCTAACATCCAAGCTGCTCCAGTACCTGTGGAGCTGGCAGGTGTCAATCCCATGGCACTTACCATAGGAGCAAGCTGGGCCTCCATAGGGCCTGGCACAGTCACACCTGAAGGTGGCCCAAAGGTCCACACAGAGCCCTCCATGGAAGCAGGGCTGGGAGAGGCACCACTCTGTGCGGTCACAGCCCAGCTTCACTGGGGACGACTCCCCCAGCGGCAGATCTGCCGGCAGCACGGCCTCAGCATCCACCTGCAAGTCCTCCAGGCAGCCCACAAAGCCTTGCTGGCTCCGTGTGTTGTTGGCCATTGGATCCTCAGCACCTCCAATAAACAGATTCAGGAAGGCTGGAGGGATCAAAGCAGCACCTGGTGGGACAGGAGAGCTCTGCACGCAGAGCCCAGCCTCACAAGAGCCATGCCAGAGCTTCAGCTGCACCGTGCTGTGCACAACAACTTCCACTTTATGCCACTGTCCATCGTCCACTCTCAGCCCCTTGAGGAGCAGCGGGTACCCAACATCCTCCCTCCTCAGCTCTGCACGCAGGATGCCATCCAGGAGCTCCAGGAACAAGTACTCGGCTTCACGGCCTCGGTAAAAAAGGACAGCACTGGGCAAAGTGGTTCGGAAGCGGAGGGAGACGCTGGCTGCTCCTGCACCCCTCCTGCTCTCACTGTTCTCCAGCTCAATGAGGAGATACCCTCTGGAAGCAAAGGAAAACGTTGTTGGAGTCGAGCAGGTGGCATCATAGAAACCAGGCTGGCACTGGCACAGGTGGCCGTGGCTCTCAGCTTGGTAGGTTGGGATGCACAAGGCCTCGTTTTGGCAGTCGTGCGTCTGGCACCCGGTGAGCTGGACAGAGCAGTTCTTCCCTCCCCACGTGATGCCATCCTGGCCAGGGGCACAATGGCAGGAATAGTCAGCAATGCCATCCTCACAGACAGCTCCATTCTTGCAGGGCCCCTCCTCACACTCATTGATGTTAACAGCACATTCCACACCTGTGAAAGAGATTGAGAGATGGGGTCTCACCGTGGGACTGGCACAGCCCTCCCCAGCTCTCTCCAGGGAGCAGCTGCCAGCAAGGAACCCCACACTCACTCAGAGGGTCCTGCTCATCATGCAAGAGCAAGAAACCCAAACTTCTGTGTCCTCCCAGGTGCTGGTTATAGAGCTTTGGCCTGTCAGCCCAAATTCCCCCACCAACTGCTGTCCTGACACAAGCTCAAACCTCACAGGCAGTCAATATGCAGAAGGTATGGAAGGACCAAAACAGCAAAGACAAGGAATTTATGTTTTTTTCTTAATAGATTTGGTATGTTGAAAGGCCAGGTAGGTCTACAGCTCTGACTGGAGCATGCTCCAGGCACCAGTGTTGCAGACAGCAGTAAAATGGGAAGTTACTGGAAAGTCTCAGTTAAAAAAATTCAAATTCCAAGACGACCCACCAGATGTAAAACTCACAAAACTCAGTTCATTACCAAACAACAGACACAACATGCTCCACAGGCACTCTGCCATGCTGGTACTAAGCTGATTTCTGCCCAGTCCTGCACAAATGAACTGGGTGAGGTCCTGCACTGCAGCTCTGTCTCCTGGAGGCACACGGATCCCAAAGGGGCTCAAGTAAATTACCAAATCTGGCTAATGAAAATCTGCTGTCATTTTCCTGAGCATCCCCAGGCTGACAGGAGAGCCCTGAACCAGTTCATTTTATCTAGCCTATAACATTGGTTTTCACTAATCTTCAGAGACAGTCCCACAGATAAACCAAGCATGGATTATCCCAATCTAATAGCATTACACCCGATCCAGCCAGCAAGCACAACGAGGGCAGCAGGAAGAAAAAGAAGGAATTCAGACACAAAGGAGGGGAATCAAAACACAAAGGACATTTGTAAAGAAAAGCCACTAGACAGAATGTGCATGTCAAAGAGATTAGAGAGCTGCCTGGGGCAGAGAGATGAGGGGAGATGGGGCATTAGGAGCACTGAAGCTGGACTTGATGTGTGATTAAAAATAAAAACTTAGCAGAGATACAGATTCTTGAATATTTGCAGTGATGGCTTGTCCCCCGAGCTCTGCAGAGAGATGAGCACCAGCTTCCAGCTCCAAACTTTCCAATTGTGCCAGTGTAGGGACAGAGCTCTGGGAAGCACTGAAAGAGAAATGCAAGGCTCTAATTCTGCACTTTCCAGATGTGCCAGAGCTGTTCTGTAAGCAACAGTATCTTCACAACCTCAGCACAGCCCTTTTGCTCTTACTGCTGGGCTTGCTCAGCAAGGGAACAGCAGGGACGGAATTCAGATTGCAGCGCAAAGCTGTGAAGGCAATGTGTTGGAATAAATAGAGTAAAAGGGCCATCACTGGGCCTGGAGAATCCCAGTTTGGGAGAAGATGGGAAGATTTCCATCACAACTGGGAAAAATCAGTAGAGAAGTGTAACTGTGTGGAGTGGGTTTTCTTGGAGGGCTCTCCAAGCTGCAGGAGGCAAGTCTGCAGGCAGATTTAAGGGGAGAGGCTGTTGAATAAGGAAAGACAGGTATAGTATAGTTTGGCATAGTCCCAAACCCCCAGATGCTGCTGTTTCCGATCAGAGCTGCTGATATTTACCAAGGCAATGAGGGGAAGATAACACTGGTTTGGATAACAAAAGGAGAGATGCCATGAATTTTTGCATTTCTGAGAAGGCTGGGAGGCAGTGAGAGGCCCATTTTCCCATTCCACATTCCCAGCCTGAGCAGGTCTCAGCTCTGGCACAGCAGCAGGAGCACCTGTGCTCTGTTCCTGCCCCAGTGCCTCACACCAGGTGGGACACGAATCCCCGGGGTGGGTGCACAGCCCCAGGCTGGTAGCAGATTTAACACCAGGCTTTCCCATGGAATGCAGCTAGTTTGATTTCTTAAATTATTTGTTTGAAATGGGTGAAAAGGGGATTGCACAAGAGTTCTAAAAATCTGGCTAATGACACTTCTTTTCCTGGAAGACTTACTAAGCAGTTATCTGGAGCTACATCACTACAGTTTCCAAAAGTACAGATCATTTCCTGGATATCCATTGTTCCAATCTTCTCCAAGACATGGACAGTTGTGTCTTTGCAGACCCACTGGGAAGTAGATATTAAGAAGTTGTTCAACATAAATTGGTTTTTCTAAGAGCAGCATAGGCATCCTTTTTCAGGTTTATTAAAAAAAAAATAAATTGGGGGCATGACTCTGTTTGACAAAAACAAGTAACAAAACCAAGTTATTCTCCTTGTAAACAAGTAGTAGTCTCCTCTGTTCCTTCTAAATTTCATAGCTGAAATGTTTACTTTTATTTGAGCCAACAATAGTAGAAGCAACCAATCTGATTCATTACACCATTAGGAGACTTTCAAAGGTTTAATGAGTTCCTTATCTAGTTAAGGACTAACAATAGCAAAGCAGTGGAACTTGTTATCTGAAAATCAGATGAGTGGTATCTAAAAGGCTGCTATCTGGAGTCAAGGATTTCAAACATTCCTTAATTCAGCAGTGTCTGAGGTAACAGTCCCAAGCCACCAACCCACAAGGGCTGGGTCAGAAACTCAGAAGTGGCTGAGCTTTCACAGCCTCCAGCATATTCAAATATTCAAATACAAATCCTTCCCAACGTTGGGAGTGTTACTGCTGTGGTGGGAACAGTTCTGGTTTGTAGATGAGAGTGTGATTAAATCCACACAGCTTACCACTGCCTGAATGGATGGAACGATTTACTGGCTGCTATTAATAAGCAAAGATTATATATACAGTGTAAGAATCATATACTTCAACAGATAAAATGTTAAAAGAATAAGCACAAATGAAGTGAAATATTCTAATTTAGCTGTCAGATATCAAAAACCTTGAAGGACAAGGTCTGTTCCTTGAAACACGGGAGTTCAGCAGGGCTGCCCGGCCAGCACCGCCCTGCCCTTTCCATGAGGCAGCTGAATTCCTAACGACCTTTCCCTGCTGCATCCTAATTAGGGTTTGTATTATGATTATCAAAAGGAAAAAGGAGGGGACGGAGAGGGGGTAGGCAGAGAATTAGCCGCAACAAACGGACCCCGACACAATTATATTTGCACAATTACTGCCATTTCCATGGCAACCCCTGCTCTGCCGCTCTCCCACCGCGCTGCTGCGCGCTGCTGCTCGGGGCGAGGGAGCTGGGGAAGGCACTGACCACCGAAGGGTTTGTCCTGAGTTACAACCACAACACCTATTTCTCACTAAGGCAGCTTTCAATCAATAAAAGAAAAATGAAAACTGCAAAAACATCAGTAAAAAGCAAAACTAACGCTTTCCAGAAGTAGCTGGGATGCTCCTGTGTGTCTCCTGAGCTCACCTGGGCACGGAGCCTCGGAACACCCGGCTCTGCCACTGCACCACAGGGCAGAGCACAGCGGCTGTGCAGCTCTCAGCCAGAGCCGTGCAGCAAGGAAATTCCTTACTTGCCTTAAAGTTTCCAAAACAAAACTTTAGGTCTCTTCAAAATAAAAACATTCTTCCTTTCTAATCAATTCTGGTTCCTCCTCATGCCTCCAGCCATCACTCATCACACACCCAGCCCCCTGCCCTGGGCAGGCACGCACACAGGCAGGACCCGCTGCAAGCACTGTACACATCTCATTACCTGCTAGCAGAAAAATTCCCCTCAGGATCACGCCAATCAGCACAGATTTCATGGCCGACTCCTTGTGGACATTGGTGACAGTAAAGGGAAAAAAAATGGGGGTGAAGGGGGGGAGGGATGACAAAAAGGCTGGGCTGACAGGGCAGTGCGTGCAGGCGCTCGCTGGTGCCGGTCACACGAGAAGGGATTGGAGCGAAAGAGCCGGGGGAGCAGAGCCCTGCCCTGCGCCAGGTCTAATCCAGCCTGGCTCTGACCCTCCCAGCTGGCCCCTGTCCGTGCTGACACCAGGAATGTGTGCTCCCAGCATATTCCTGCTCCGTGCCTCCCGCGGGGCCCGGCGGTGCCCACAGCCTCGCTCAGCAGGGCAAAGCCAAGAGACAATCTCCTGCCCTTGCTGAGTTCCAGGTGAATCTGCCAAATTCCGTGATAAGGCCAAAATGTCTTTCTATAGGCTAAGCCAAAAAGCTGCGTTTCCACCATTGTGCAATATCTAAACCATAGGAACAAGGGGAGTTCCAAATGCAGGGTGAACCTGGGCCCTGCTGCACATTCACTACTGAGGGAATCAGGGTCCATCAGGCAGTTTTCCTCCTCCCTGTGCCCTGTTCCAGGGATCTGTGAGCACAGACACTTCCACTCTGCTGTATTCACTAAGGAAAATCTCAGGTTTTAATGACTGTGATCTGTTTCTCTGAAGTCAAACTGGATGGAAGGAAATTCCCTGCATTATGCTGAATGTACGTGGCAGCGCACAATCTAAACTCTCTTTCCTCATTAGCCACCTCATTTAATTAGCTGTTGCAGTCTCCCTTTTCCTCTATGGTTCTGGGGTTTGTTTTTGTTTTGTTTTTTAATATAGTTACTTTCATATCATAAAATTTCTGGAGGCAGAGTTGTATTTTTGTGTTGTAAGGACCCAGAGAAGTTTCTTATTCTGTGAAGAAATGTTATCTAGGAGCTTTTCCCCAAACCTGGGAGTCTCTGTTTGTACCAATGTCAGGTCCAAGCAAACAAAACCTCCCACATGTCAGTGTCTGGAATCTCCATTAGCAGTATCACTAAGATATTAAAAAAGCATTCCAACAACTCCTCTAGCTATTTCACTTTTGTAATATTACTCAATCCAAACATGCCAGTCACTTTTACAGATACTTGAAGTGGGAGGGATATGGTGTTTACTTGGAGTCAAAACCTCTCAGATGGCCACAGACCTGTGCACACACAGACCTATCCCAGCACAGATTTCAAACATTATCTCTGTTAGCTACTCTGACCCTTCTGTTATTGTTCAGGAGAAAACAAACAGGCAGTTGTGCACATTCAGCCACTACTGCAACAATAAAGTGTAACAACTTTTAAGACTGCAGAACATTCAATGTCTTCAAAAAGATGTCTATTTTGGTTTATGCACCCACATATTTATCTCCACATACACACACAGAGTCTACCTGGACACTACTGCCTGGAAATCCATCACACCCCAATGCACCCAGCACAGATTCTGCTCTCACCTGGCACCAGGCACAAGCAGGCTCTGGACTGCAGCACTCACAGCCTTCTGATCAGATGACAGGGAAGTCAAAAGGTCTGATTAACATGGAGCTGTGATCAGCAGGGAGAAGAAACGTGGAGCGGAAGGGAAGGGAAGGGGGGGAGCCTCACCAAGTGCTGCCTAGCTCCCTTCAGCTATATTTACCAAAAGGGATTTGGTTGAAGGTGGAACAGGCCTCTAATCTCTTTACTATCTTAACCTTTTAGCTGCCCTTGCTCTAGAGGCTCCATCTCTAAAACAAATCTGACTTAAGAAATACCTGCACAAAAAAAATTAAATCTAGCCAAAGGTGGTTAGAAGGAAGAAGCATCTCCCATTTATTTCCTGACCCATGACCCAGGAATTCAAGCCCATTTGATCTGGGCTGGCACCCTCACAGAGTCACCATTTATAGCTGCTGCACAGAAGGTTTCTACTTCTTTAAGGAGACAAAGACGTTAGGGCTGAACAAAGTGAGATGGTCAATAAACCCTCCAATTATACTGGGACACATTCACACCACATCACCTTCTGATTTTTCATGAAAGCAGGAGTGTTCCTCAGCCATGTGCAGAAAAGCTCAGAATGTTCCCATGATCACAAGGTGTGGTGCCCCGGGCTGGGTGTCTGCGTGGCAGGGCCTGCTGCAGGACACGGCCTCTCCTGCCTGAGCACAGCTTCAGCTGAGTGGGAGCACTCAGGCCATTTCAAAGTTTTTAAAGAATGAATGATCCAAACTTCATTTTTGCAGGTAAAAAATCAGTGGCCATGTCAAATGGAGGTACCTGTCTTTTTCTTGTCCTGGCCTAACCTATTGCCTAATAAATACCTCATGGACTGAAAGCAGTTCTGAAAAAATAAATAAATGAAGAATTAATTTTGTTTGATTTCTTTCCCCACCTAAAAATATGCTTTTCCTAATATGCTTTGTCTCTTGACCAGAGCTGACATAATTTCCAAGAGCATGCAAGATTCCCTCTCCTTTGCACTTCATTTAGTACCCATGCAATCTTTTGATTCATAGTTCATGTATCCTCTCAGGTACCTATATGCTCTGCTAAAGCACAAACCATGTGCTGAACAGATTCTTCAGGACCTGTTACATTGCTCTCTCAGGAATGAAACACCACTTTTGCAACAGCTACATTTCAGAGAGAAGGTTCATCTGCCCACACTACACTGAGACAGCACTGAGGCAGTTAATTTGCAAAGAAAGGATTTCTCCTGACTTGCATTGTTATCCCAACACTCCCCAGATTCCTCAGACTGAAGAAGCAAACACACAGAAGGAACCCCTGCCACCCCAAGAAAGCATTCTTCATCAGAGTAGCAAGTTCACTTTAATCAGCAGAGGCAGCTTAAACCCAAGTTCATGGCAGATCTAAGCCACAGAAATGTGTTTTGAAGAGAAACATTATGGGAAGCTTCACAAAGTTGTTCTGTGATCCTAATATGAAGTAATAAGCTGTTTACCCAGCATGACTGTACTGGGATTAATTGACAAAGGAGGGGAGATTAATTGCTATTATTTCCCTGTCAGCTTCACTCCTCCACACGCACTCACTGATCTCACAGACTGCTCCCAGCCTTTCGCTGTGTTAATGTGTCAGAACTACCTCAGCTGAGACAAAGGTCTTTACCAAAAGCAATATCCAGAAGAGCAACCTGCTTCTAATCCTCTTCAAGTGCTAATGAACCCAAATTTATGCAACAGAATGAACTCTAGCACTCCTTTGCCCATCAGCCTGTGTTTCTGTCAGCTTTTCTGCCCATGAGCACGCTGAGAACTGGAAAGGATTAAACAGATCTGCAGCTTGGCAAAGCACAATGAAATTCTGAGCTCTGTGAGGGTGCTGGGGCACTGCAGGAGGAAAAGAGAGCAGGGCACAGATGTGAGTGGGAATTCTGACAAGAAGGATAAACTTTAAACCATCTCTTTGGACAAGATCTCAGCTCAGAGTACAACATTGTGACTGCCCGAGAAAGCAGCGATAACGAGCTTAGAAAAAAACTGATTTTCAAAGGCGTCATCTACAAAAGCAAATTTTTCTTGATCTGGCCTAAATTAGCAAATGAGGTAGGCCAGAAAATCCCACAAATAATTCAGCCCAGTTACAGAAGGTGTTAACTAGAAGCTGATTTTACATTCTGGGAATGAAAGTGATAGATCTTCCCAGGAAAGAGCTGGGCAGAATTAAATCAACGAGCTCAACCACTGCAACCACAGAAGGAAAACAGAAAATTTTCCCATGCCATAAAGGCCTGGGAGAGTCTCTGGAATGTTGTTACCTGCTGTTGCAAGTTAAAGGACAGGGTTTTTTTCTGGCTTCAAGTGTTTCTTTTTCCCACGAGATGGCAGCCTGGTAACACTGTGGAGAAGTTACCCTCATCTCAAATCCAGAAATCCAGGATTGTGCTGGGATCACCTTTCTTATAAACTACTCTGGTGTTAAATTGCCAAACACACGTGGATTTTAAAGACAAAGAAGACTGAGAATTAATATTTTAAAGAAAGATGAGGTATAGTACCAGTTAGCAGAGGACCTTCTCAGCAGGGCTGATGTTCACCATCTCCCAGATTCTTAACCAGCAAACTGAACCCTTAGGGTCAGGCAGGGCATTTGGGGAAGAATCCAGACTCCTCATTCCCTTGTAAACAGAGAAGGCTTCCTTTGCTCACATCACAAAGACCTTTTGACCTCCTAACATAGCAGATCACTGCTTTCAGCCAAAAATGGCTGGCTCTTATCATCCCAGGGTGTTAGTGAATGGAGATGTTTCACAGATGCTTATGTGCTGGTGAGCCAATCTGTTACAGCCAGTACAATTTGTGACAGCTAGAATGTTAAACATCCCTTCTTTTATTGAAAGGCTGGTTTTCTATATACTTTCTACATGTATAGAAAACCCCACAGCTCTCCCAGGTAACTTTCACTCCAGGTTAAAGATGACCTGGATACTCTGATCTTAGACTCTATGCAGTTGATCTTATGTCTCCAAATCTAGCTCATGGCCTATCTTGCCCACACTCACACAGCTTTCCCGTGGCATTTGAGCCCTGAACTGCAGACATCCTTGCTGCACACACCCTCAATCCAGCCCTCTCATCCTGGAATCCTGCAGCCAGGCAGCAGTGCAGCAGCTCAGCATTAGCCAGCCAGAAGGATCTGATTGCAGCCAGCCCTTCCCCAGGGTTACCTGAATAACCAGGTAGGCACTGACAGAGGAAGCCATTCACCAGGTCCTGGCAGAGCCCCCCGTTCTGGCAGGGCTGGGACTCGCACTCGTCGATGTTGGTAAAGCAGGTCTCCCCTGGGAAGTGAAAATACAAACACACATCTGAAGTGCCCTTGTGCACTAGTCAAACAAAAATGACATCTGCAGTCATAAGTTTTGCACTTCTTTTCTTTCACCTAGAAATATAAAAGAATCCCTTGAAGTCTAGCATATATCTCTGCAGGCACTGGCACACAAACACCAGCACGGAACAACGGGGGCAAATGAAGTATGAAATAATTTTCCAGATTTTCCAAATACTGGCAAGATTAGAACTTCTGAACCATTCCTATCTGTGCAATAGTGGACCAAACACTCACATTTATCTCATAAAATAATGAAGTATTATTGTTTAAGACTTCCCACTAGGGAATTTCCCTAGCTGTTGAATTCCTAAATCCAGCATTTTACACTTTCTCCAATCCATGGAAAGGGTGATATTTCAGTGAGACATCCACAGAGCTTCTAGGTTCAAGAGCTTTACACCAATAAACTCCTCTTGTCCCACTCTGATTACACAGCTGCTGCCATGGGAGTAGTCTCACCAAGAAAACACCTAGAATAGTAATCTGTGACTCCAGGGAATTATCTTTCTCTGATGAGGAATTTCAGAGATCTCCCTAGGGATTAATCCTGCCATATGCATGAAAGACTGACAAAGGGGAAACACCCTGGCACCTGCATAGCCAGAGGGCACTCATGGCAGCATGGGGAAGTGCACAGGCTGTTGCCTCAGCCTGGAGGTTTGGACAGGGAATGACATTCAGCTGTCTGCAATGGCAGCAGAAGCACATTCCTGATACATCAGGCTGCCAGCCCCTCTGAAGTACCAGTCCTTAAGGGATTTCTGTTGCAGAGATAACACTGCTCCATTCCCATCTCCTCAAACAGCAGCAACACCCAGTGCAGACAGGATGAACACTTGCAGTGCAGCTCACCTGTGAAGCCTGGCTGGCACTGGCACAGGAACCCAGCTGCTTGGCTGTAGCTGAAGTTGCTGGGGAAGTGGGGCTGTGTCCCGTAATGGGCGGGGTTGGAGCGCTCCAGGCACAGGCCACCGTTGTGACAGGGCTCTGCCACACACTCATCCACGTCCTCCTCGCAGTCCTGCCCGGTGTAACCTGCCACGAGACACCGCTGTCAGCATCGCGCACAACTTCAGCTCCCAAATGCTGTGCCTGACTCAGAGGAGGGAATGAGACCCCCAGACCTGCACTCATCTAGCAGAGAGCCCCCAGGCCCTTTACTTTCTCCACTATGTCAAATACATGAACCAAAATCATCAATATGCAGGAAAGCATCACCTCATGATAGAGGAACTGATGATGGGAAATGGCAGAAAACAGAAAGAGAATTTTATAGTTGACAATCAGGGTGATTTTTGCAGGTCTGTTGGATTTTGGGATGACCTGTAAAGGGCAGCAGTGTAGCCTCACTGTTCCAGACAATGAAATCTCACATGAGGCCATGCAGTATGATCATTAATTCTCTACTTCTTCAACACAGCAATCAAGCCCATGATGTCCAGGGCCGTGTCCCCACACACCACACGAGCAGAGAACCCCCAGCCCACCTGGCCAGCAGGCACAGCTGTAGCCCTTGATTCCCTCCAGGCACGTCGCATTGTTGTGGCAGGGGTCAGAGGCACACTCCAGGATGTCCAGCTCGCAGTGGGCCCCCTCGAAGCCGGTGTCACTGCAGTCACAACGGTAGCTGTGGGGCACCAAACACAGCAAGGCATCAGCTCTGCCTGGACAGCAAAGCCCAGGGTAAGGAACAGGCAAAAGAGCTCAGCTGTCAGTGCTCACACCCACTTGTGTTCACACCTTACCTGTGGAAAGGTAAATTCAGACACACAGGTATTTTCTCGGCAGTTGCCTGTGCTGTTCATGCTCTGCAAACCGCTTCTCTGTGTTTGTTCCTCCCTTCCTTTAAGCACCCCTGGAGTTCTGCTGCTGGGAGGGGGCTTCTCCCTTTTATTGCCACAAATCACTGTTACTGCCACTCAATGTACAAAACACTAAATTCAATTCCCCCCACAGCTTTCTACTCTGATTTTCACAGGCCGTGCTGAGTAGACCTTTAGATCAGTCCTGGTGTCTCATTGCCCCCCAGCACTGGTTTCTCACCTGTTAACGAGGTCATGACATGTCCCATTACTCTGGCATGGCTGGCTCTCACATTCATTGATGTCCACCTCACATTGGGCTCCTTGATAACCTGGTGCACAGGTGCAGGTGTAGAACCCAACATGATCATTGCACAAGGCCCCATTCTGGCAAGGGTCTGAAGCACATTCATCTATTTCAGTATCACAGTTCACACCTTTGTTAAGAAACAGAAAAATATCAGTGTTACAAATCCACAGAAGTGTATATGTGCTGCCTGGAATTCTGAGATGAAATCACAAGAGTCATCTTTTTTTTGTCATCAGTTATCACCCCCAGCTGGCCACCAGAGTGATCTCTACCTGCTTCTCTAAAAATAAATTCCATTTATCTCAATTGTTTGTAACTTGCTTTGTGATACCCAGGAAGAAAGCACTAAAGTAGTGCAAAACACTGGCTACAGTGATACCTGATGTTAGCACATGATTTTATTGGGAAATGCTATTAAAAATACAATGTTAGCTCCACCAGTGGTCACAGCAAGTAACATGTGTTTGATACTCAGTCCCAACCTCCCTGTCAGAACAAGACCTCATCAAAGACATCTATGCAATTATCTTATCTATATTCCACCTCTTTGAGCTGCCTGTGGCCTGGCATCACCTCCAAACCTTACTCATTAGTGGCACCTACCAATCCACCTGATCTGCCCTCTTTGGCAAAGGCTCCCCACAGAGTGGGCATGGCCATCCTAATCCTGGTGGAATGTGGGGCCCCTAATCTGGCTCAAACCCCTCAATACCCACACAAAACTCCCTTCACCCTAATTCCAGCTGTAAGCACCAGGAAACAACCTGGCCTTGCCAGCCAATGGTGCTCAAACCTCTGGATGAAGAACCAAATCCCAAGGCTAAACCTCATGTTTGTCATCAGAATAACTTGAAGCACAACAAACTCCTCCAGCTGCCTGGGTCACTTTATCACTCTTTTGGCAGGGAATCCCACAATCCCAAACTGAGGATTCAGCCTTAGGGCCCACACAGAAATTCTGTCTTGTTTCTCCTTCATGTCTCTTCACTTTTATCAGAGTGAGTCAGCATCAGGGACTACATTCCCGATGTTGTAACTTCTCCTCATTCCACTGGTAATCAGCAGCATTCCTTCACAGCAACCCAACTCCTTAAACACTTCAGTCTGTGAACAGGAGGAAGGCTGAGAAAGTTCATGTGCAAAGTGGTACCAGGCAGACATGGACACATTCCACTCCGATAAGCAGGGCTGGGGGAAGGAGAGCCCCCCACCGCCTCCCTCACAGATAAGTTACAGGTGTGGATTCCTCTCTGAGTCACCATTTGCACAGAAGCACAAAAGAGAAACACTTAAATCATATGCCAAATAAACATTTGCCATGCATGAAAGAATTGGAAATCTCCAACTAAAAGACACTTTTTTCCAAAAGACAAGTACTTCCTTGGAAAAATCCTGCTGGACAGGAGAAAGAACTACAGGCCAGTCGGCAGAGCTGTTATACCTGGAAACACTAAGCATCCATTTCCTGGTGATAAATATCTTTTTATGTTATCTCCCTTAATTTCATGCCGAGAACTAATGACAGCTACCTTGTGCCTAGTACTCCATTCTCAGCCACTCCTGGCTCCGTGTCTCTCAGCACCTACACCACGCACAGAATTCAAGTCCTCAAGCAGTGCCTGGAAGCCGCTGTAAGCAGCCCTACAGTGTTCCTCACAGCCACAGCCCCAGCCTGTGGGCACACAGAGCCTGGGTGAGGCCGTGGGGCGGCAGAGCGGCCGTACCTGCGTAGCCGGGCGCGCAGCGGCACTCGTAGCGGTCCATGTGGTTGAGGCAGGTGCCGTGGTTGCGGCAGGGCCGCGACGCGCACTCGTCGATGTCGATCTCGCAGTTGGAGCCCTGGAAGCCGGGCACACAGAAGCAGCTGTACTCGCCCGCCCTGTCCCTGCAGATGGCCCCGTTCCTGCACGGCCCCGACGCGCACTCGTCGATGTCGTCCTCGCACGTGGCCCCGCTGAAGCCGGGCCGGCAGAGGCAGCGGAACCCGCCCGGAGCCTCCACACACGTGCCGTTGTTCAGGCAGGGCTGGCCGGAGCACATGGAGCTTTCTGCCTGGCAGCCTTCTCCACCGGGGCCCAGCTGGCATCTGCAGGTGTATCCGGCCGGGCTATCTACACATTCAAACCGAGGGTCTGTGCAAGGGCTGCTCTCACACTCATCAACGCTGGCACAGGCAGCCCCTGCAGAGCCAGCTGGACACACGCATTCATATTCCAGCAGTCCTGAAGTCCTTCTGCAGGTCATGTGGGCAGGACAGGAATGTTCAATGCAAGCATCGTAGAGGAGTTCACAATTTATGCCCATGTAGGCTACAGGCTCCACAGGGCAGGTGCACTGGTAACCCGCTTCCAAATCCTTACAGCTCCCCCCATTCTCACATGGGGACGAGGAACAGCCACTGTCATTTTCAGAGTATGAGGTTCCTGATGAGAAAAGACTTTTTGTTAGTCAGCATTTGCAGCTCTAAAGAAAAATGTTCTGCCAATTCCCACATACAGCTTGGAGATTTCCCACTTAAATTCCACACTCCAAAGGGCTGTGCTAGCCATGAGATGAGGATGATACTGGAGAATCAAACATTTACAATAAAGAAGACAACAGCCCTTCATTTGGAGGCAATCAGGAATCTCTTGCCAGTGTGGGTAACCAGGTACCTGATTTTTTTAGGAGACACTCACAAACCAACTATTTTACTTGTGCTTATTCATCCATGAGTCACTTTGAGAGCAGTGACACATATCACCTTAAATCCATTCACGAGATTAACTTAGTGTAAAATTCCATGACCCCTTTCACTGGCAGGGCACAGCATTTGTGCCTGGAAATCCAGAGGGGCAGGATGAGTTCAGGTATTGGCTGCAGCTCTGCATGTCCCAGCTGCTCCTTCTGGGAATATAATTTTTTCTCAGCTAATCCGGGAGTGATTTGAAGATGCTCCCATAAATAATAACCCAAGGCAAACTCCAAACGGGCACATTTCAGAGTCTCTGATTACATCAGGCAGCTCAGGTTGATAACCACCCTCTCCTGTTAGACATGCAAATTTACACAGCAGGACATTTTTAGCAAGGAGGAGCAGAGAGTGCTGAGATCACTGTGCTGATGGCATTTTGGATCAGTACCTGCTGAGCCAAAACACCAGTCTAACAACCAGATACCAGGAACTAATGTTGAGACCAGATTCCCCTAAATCTGGGAGCATTCAGATGTGATCAGTTAATTCACGCTGAGCCACAATGCCTTGCTGTCCCCACAAAGGCGGTGTTTAAAAGCCTCTTGCCCCATTAGCAACTCCACCATCCGGAAATGCGATGGGACGTGCCCACTGAACTGCAAATTTCCTTGTTATAAATGAGATTATGTAGGATACACGATATTAAAAAAGAAGAAAAAAAAAAAGTGTTCAAAGTAGATATTTCAAAATGGAGCAGAATAGAATAATAGGAGAAATCCTCATTTCTTTTCCAGAAGAAATTTTAAATTTACTTTGTTAAACAATCGGCAGATTGGCCAGAGGGCAGGACAGCCCAGGGGACAGGAGATAACGGCCTTTATGTTAGAATTAGGATATATGTCCCACATTCAATGCCACAATTAAGCACTTTCCAAAAGACATAAACCAACCAAGAATATAATAAAGGGACAAAGGCAGGGGAAAAGAGAATTTAGCCATCCACAAAAGCAGCAGTCATTAGCACCTCATCCCACTGTGGCCTTCTGAGATCAGAACTTTTCATTCTGCTCAGTTCCAAGATAAATAAGAGAGAAGCTGTGTGGTAGAGATATCCCAGCCTGATTCCTGCATAAGTGTTATGAAACATCCAAACTTGGAAGTAACTCTGCAAACAACTATATAGCAGATGTTTGGAAAATGCCTATGAAAAATGGTCTCAAAGCAGAGATAAAGCTCATGAAGGAGCAAATGGTATCTGAGAAATTGCTACTGGTGAGACAATCCAGACTTCCCTGGTGTTAGAAGTCAAACCATCACTCGAAGCCTTTGGGCAAGCAGCTCTTCACCCTTCCTGCTGCCCTCTCTATGTAGCCATGGCCCAGGTCATGACGGGCCTCAGTCTCTGTAAACCCCACAAAACTGCAGGTGGAGAGAGGGCAGGATCCCAAATCCCTGTAGCTCCCTCAGCCCTCCCTGCTCCATGAGGAATGTTGCTTTACCCTGCCATGCTCCATGCTAAGGACTTGCCGGGATCACACACCTCAGCATCGCTCCCCAGCTGACCTCCACATCCTCTCACTGGTGCCAGCACCATCCTGGCCCAGTTTGGTCACGTTTGCCTTGCTCTGGTGCACCTTACCCACCCCGGTAGTTGATCTGTGTCAGTGGTGCTTTATCAACTCTGCCCCATCAGCTCCTCAGTCTCTTTGTACCTGAGGGTGGAGGCACAGACTTCAGGGCCTGAAAGGGATTTATAGGAGACTTTGGTTTACAAAAGCCTGCCCCTGCCCTGACCTCCCCCAACCCAAATTCCTCCCACCAAGGACTGTAGTGTTTCTAAGTCTTTTAAGAGGCCGTGCTGCTGGGGGAGGGAGGGTGCTCAGGGATTTAGGTAGCCCTTTCTCTTCCCAGCAGCATCTCCATGGCCTACCCCTCCCTTCCCCTCTCATGTGATACTGGGGAGAGCTGCTGAGCCCTGCACTGTCCAGCAATCCCATTATTCTGCCATCAACCCTTTTATTCTCAGATTCCCAGTCAGGCAGAAAACAAGGATGACGGAATCTGCCTGGAATCTCTGTGGCAATTAGAGTGGAAGCCCAGGAAACTATTCGCAAAAGAGCTTTACTAGGCAGGAGACATGAGCCTTTGTAGGCTTAATGAGTAACTGGCCCCAGCCTGCACTTTCCAGGGGCCAGGAGCACCCTTTGGGACACAAAAGGAGCCCGAGTCCACTGCGTGTTGGGAAGGAGCTGCAGCACACTCCATCTGCAAAGAAATTCCCATTTCCGCAGAATCCCCAGGCACTGCTGGCATAGCCAGGCTGAGTCACTGCCAAGCCTCATGCTTGGCTTTCTGCTTCCATGAGAAGAACACAGGCAAAATGCTTTTTTGCAAATAAAGTTAAACATCAAAGCCCTTTGGTATTCCCCACCTTTCCCAAAGCTGTGTCTCAACAGACACACCTTGTTGTACTTCCTCTGGTTTGGTCCATCCTCAACTGCAGACAACACAAAACTTCACTAACAAGTGCAAAGGCCTTCTTGGCTACCAAAAACAGCAGTGAAGGAACAGAGAGAACTCTGGTCTGCTCAAAACTCACTGTGACCATGAACAATAGCACTGTCAATATATGTAGTCCAGCAGGAGCGTTTTGGAGGAAAACATTCCTTTTCTGGAACAGATATCCTGAAGAAACACAGCACTGCTCACAGGGCATGCATGGAGCGGGCTGAGGACACTGCAGTGTAAATCACAAGAAATGAAGCTTATCTAAATAACTGCAAATTATTCTGTGAACTGCAGCTGGCAGAAAATCCCCCACGTGTTTGACTGACTCAGTGGAGGCTTCAGGCACACTAACAGCCGGAACAACCCCAAATTGTACCACACACTCCCCTGTATCCAGCACACCTGTACTAATATGGAATATTTCCTGAGGACAAAACATGTCCCTGTGTGAATGTATTCCAACCCTAATACTCCTTCCATGGCAGTGCTGAACATCTGGCTTGACAAAGAGCACATCTGATGTTTTTAGTGCATTTTTTGTTCTTTTCAACCATCAGTCCTAGGGCATACACTTACTGCTCTCACTTTTGGAATAGATTAATATATGAATGTGAACAGCACATGAATATGCACCAAACACTAATAAGAAAAATGAGTAAATTAGCTTTTCCTGCTGCACAATATAAGAACCATGAAAACGTGGTTCAGACTATGCTGTTTCATGAACACAGTGAAAATCAGATCAAGCAAATCACTGAATGACAAGAGTTAGTTTTTCACCAAAATAGTTGTTGCTGGATTAACAATGACATTCAGAAGTTTTTCTTTAAATTTCACAAGAAAAATATAAATTAGTGATATTTGTAAGGGAAAAAAAAACCTTAGAAGTTTATTACAGTCATACCATCCTGCAAACCTATGCTGAACTGAAACTGGAGGAGAGCTCCTTTGAAGAACAGTTCCAGGCATTTAGGGGTGGATTAGGAGGAACTTCAAAGGCTACCAGAGTCCCATATAAAGCATTCATTGAGCTCTGTCAGGACAGGGCTGGTTTTACACTTTAAAGGTAGCTGACAAAGATTTTCCCCAAACAATGAGGTTTGTGACCTTTTGTAACACTTTAAGGCAAACAAGCTGCATTACCAGGCTCTGTTTTAATAATTGACTTTGATAATCTTACACTTTATACATGAACTATGTGATCTTGTTAAAGTTGCAACAGCAAGTTTTGTGACCACAAAAAATCAGAAATGAATGAGAAGTTAGGCAATTACTTCTGTGACTGGAGACGCTGCTTTAGCATCACTCACAGACTTCTATATTGGGGGTTTGCTTTTCACAAGTTTATTTTCTCAAAGACTTGGGTGACTCTGATAGAGGATGGATGTTGTCAATCTGTCAGTTTCCTGAACTTGTGGAAGCTGCTCAGTGCTGCACTGATAGCTACCCGAAAGGTGTCTAAATGATCACTTAAAATTCCAGCAGGGAATGGCAGCGTTGGGGTTCTCAGCTGACAGTTTCATTTGTACTGAAGGACAGGAAAAGAATCCAAGCAGAGGCAGTGGTACCTGCTGGTACTTACTGGAAATCCCCATCCCTGAATACCTGTTCAAGCACATGCCCTGCACTGGGTGAAAACCAAAAATGTACCATCACCTGTGCACAACTTGTGCAAAATGGTCATAACCACAGACACAGCTCCCAGAAGAGTCAGGCAGACAGAATGTTATTTCCTGGCCTAGCAAAAGGTGAGTATGAGCTTGGACAAGCCAGATCCACCTCAAGTAGAAAGAAGCTTCCTTCAGATGTTTTTCACCTGCCCTACTCACTGCAACAACTGAAGGAAAACCTGATTTACAATCAAGAGGTGAGAACAGCAGGATTCTCAGAGCACCAGAGGTCCCAGCTGCACCACAACAATATTGGAGCTTGAGGGATATCCAATTTCCAAAATCAGGACTGGGTAAACCCCAGCCTGGGGCAATTCTCACCAGTCAGGCTGTGCTCCTGCTGCTCATCCCACCACACCTCCCACTGGAGAAAGATCCTGAGGCCAAGGGTAGAAAGGGAACCCATCCACCAGCAGGGATTCAGAGCAACACAACTACTAAATAAACTCTGAATAAAGGAATGGAGAGTTAGGTCTCCATGACAACAGGAAGGCATGTGCTTATATTAGTAAATCCCTGCTGACCTCTGCTGATCTTTCCCTATCCTGGTCAGTGTAAAGGATTAGTGAAAGGGGACACACTTTGGCCTGTTCCCAGGATCCACACAACCAGAAAGGGAAATGGACAGGCTTGAAAAGGGGTTTCATATTCACCCTCTCTCTTCCTCACCCCTGCTCACTTTGGAAGGACAGATATGAAAGGGAATGGCAGGATAAAACCAAATCCTTCTTCAGGAAGCACCTTCCATATACCTGCTCAAGGAGGGTACAAGGCTTCTTCAGGTGGCTTTACACATCCTAGAGCTTTACAAACCCCATTTCTTTCTTGACACACAGAGATTAAAACTTTCTATCCAGACCTAAGCTAAGCATCTGCTCTGGGTAATACCAGCACCAGAAAACATGGCCTGAAACTCTCTGAGGCTGCTGACGAGCTCATGACATGCTAATAATTGGCAGTGATATTTCACCTAGCCCAAAATATTCCAGAACCTGTATTCCCTGTCCTGTTTAACACAGTAGTGGCACTTGTGAGAGCTGCTTTAACAGCAGGCTTTTCTATTTTGCCTCAGAATAGGGGATGTGGGAATGGGAAACTCTCCAAAATACCAAAGTTTGATCACAATTATTAAGCCCCTAGGCTGCAGCAGCTTCCCACTGCCCAGCTCTGCTGGGGTAACTTGGTGACTCTGGGGCCCAGAGTCAAGATTCTGAGATATACCTGCTGATGGAAACTAAACATTATTGTTACTGTCTCAGGTTATCAGCTTATCAGATTTGATAATTTATGTGAAGCAGGACATGACACTATGACCAAAAAAACCCCAAATGTTGAAAATAAAGATTAGCTAATCCAAAAGCATGTTTGGCAATCAGCAGGCAGGACTTCTAAGACAATACTGAATAAATGGCCTGACAAAATGCCAGGGATCCCAGCAATGCCAAGAGTGTCTTTTGGAAAAGTCAGTTTTAAAAAGAGCCTCACTATTCATGACTTTGATATCTCTTGAAGAGTTTTGGTAGGTTAAGCACACAAGCCCAGTGTCTCAGCCAAATACCACCTTGGATACCAACTTTAAGGCATCTCCTCACATCCCTGGCACACAGGCCAGATTACAGTTTTACCCAGATATTGTGTGTCAATCACTTCTCAGACTGCTTCTGACATTGTTTCTCTTTGTTACTGGAGACCAACAAATTCCACACGAGTACACAAGGCTTTTGGTGTGACAGAGTTTTGCGTGCCAGATACATGTACACGGTCTACTGGTGTAAAATATTTATACAGAATTTACAAAGGCCTAGACTTAGACTTGCATTCATTCACGCATGAGAAGTGTGGCTCAGGTTCTTCTTGTGAAATATGCAGAATATTTACCCCCTCAAAGAGGGAGGATGGTGATTCCTGGCTCTCTGCCCCCCAGCTTTCCCAGTGAATTGCTAAAAGGTGCCAAAGAGTGGGCACCAATCCACGGGGCCCAGCAGTGCCAACATCATGGCCCAAGGCATTAACAGCATTAGTCAGAAATACCACTTCAGGGAACTGAACTCATTCTTACCACAGAACAAAAAGACAGCTAGATTGTGCTCATGTGAGCAGATATGCTCACTGCTTTACTGCAGATTAGAAGGTGTAACTCCTATTTTCATGCTTCTAGAACTGGAAGGAAGATGGGAGCTATGAATCCCTGGTTTATGACAGCATTGAATATATTGCCACAGTAACCCTTTGATCTTCTGCGCTCAGGACACCCCAGTATTTTCCCTTAATAAACACTCCTCCAAACTGACCTTCATGTTTCACATATTCTCTGATCTCTCAGCCATTTCCACAGATCAAACACTGGGACAGGGACTTTCCTGTGTATTCAGTTCACCAGAGTGAGTCACAGGCTTTAATTTCCAATTCTTATTTAAATATACTGACAATGAACAAAACAGCTGGAAAGATTGGTTTTGTTTGTTCCCCATTTTGAAGTAAGCCTTAAAATGTCCTTAAAGTGTCCGAGCTAATCTCAAGAGCTGGCATTAGAGCTGATAGCAAAGGAGGTTTGTCTTGCACATGCTCTCCCTCAGCAGGTGTCCAAAGCATCTTCCAGGCCAAAGGTATGGGAATTCCTGTGCCTGCTGATGGCTGGAGCTGTGGGAACAGAAGTGAGAAGACACTCCTTGTGTCCTCCAGAATCTCTTTTAAAGACAAGGAATTAGCTGGGAGCTATTCTATTGTGTTCCCATCACACAGGAAGCAGCAGTAAAAGGGGAGTCACAGGCAGAGGCTGCACCGTTGCCCCTCCGGGGTTTCTTTTAAACAACTGGAGATAGTGAGGATCTGCCTGCAGGATGCTCTGATGGGTAAAGATTGCAGCAGACCAACTGCATTCTCAGAATTTCCACAAAAAATTTGAACAAGTAGCTTCGGCACTCTCTGCTTCAATGATATTTAGACTCAGTCAATAAGAAATAAAAGAAGTAGTGATATGGTTTACAAGGGCAAGAAAAGACATTTCTTTACGGCCATAAAAACCTACAAGTGCTGCCTTAATAGCACCATTCACTCCAGTTAAAATCTGGCAGAACTGCCCTTGCAAAATGGGAGTAAGTGGAAAGACTATGAAAACCAGCACTTCCCTCGAGCTCTGCTGGCTCCAGCAAGAAGAGCCATCCACCTGCACTCAGAAGAACGGCACATTCTCACTAAATCAGTGCTCCAGAGAAGAGCTTTCTCCAGGAGTGAAAAGCCACAAGGGCAGTGGGCAAAGAGCACAAGCCCTCGGAGCCACGGTGCGGGCTGGCAGCCACGCGCGGCCGCTCCGTCCATGCAACCCGCCTTGCCTGTGCCCAGCACAAAGCCACCATAACTGCTTCACACTCCAAACCAGTAGCTATGGTTACTAGATACAAAAGACAGTCCTGCTGCTTCCCTGTGGCCAGAGGAATTCCAGGCACTTGGAGCAAACGCACCAGACAAAGAAGCTGGTACAAGGAAGAGAATGGGGAAAAAAAATTAAGGAAAATCACAACATATTTTGATTTTCACATTCACGGTCTGAGGTAGTCAGAGCAACAGAAATCTTAGGAAGCTTCAGAAGGAAAAAAAAGAGACTGTTGGGGAGTCAGAGGAAAAGCTGAAAACTTTCTCCAAATCTCAAAAATTACATAAACATCACCTACTAATGCAAGAAAATGCCAAGTGCCGTGTTCAGCAGACACAGAGAAGAGGCTGTGACTGTATTTTCTCAATGTCCTCCACATTCTACATCCATTTCTTCACGTCATGGATCATACCTGTACTTGTTCAGTGGAAACCAAACCTGACTTGCACCTACAGGTAACCGGCCTGGCAGTGCCGAGGGCAGGATAAGGAGAGCAGTTCAATTCCAATCATACTTTCCAGTAAAAGGCTGGACATGTTCCTGATATGACCTTATAATCCCTAGATGACTAAAACAGATGTCTAGGCCCAGCAGATCTCTAGGCACCTATTCCAGAAGAAACAGATACCTATTTTTCAGGGAACATAAGATATTGTAAACAAAGGTGACAATGGAACCCAAAGATATGGTCATGGGAACATGGAGAATCCCAGTGTACTCAAGCAGATTCTTTGGCTATAAAATAAGTTTTCAGTGTGGAAAAAAACGCCAAAGAAAACAACCCCCCCACCAGTGTGATAGACTTTTTTGTTACCTCATTGCTTCTTGCATTTTGAGGATGGATCTGCTTTATTTAAAATTTCTAAGTGGAGACACTCCTGTCCTGTGATCTCCCTGCACATTTTGTAGCAGATGTACTGGGCACTATGCTCCCCTGGGTACCATCCTCTTGTGCCTAGATGTGTTTCTAGAGCATACAGGATGGAAATAAAGGTCTGTGTTTCTTCTGTGTGGGCACAACCAAAATATTCAGACGTTTCCAATGGAGAAAATGGTTACTACAATAGCTGAATACTTAATTACATGAATGCTTAATTACTTTTAGTTCTTGTGAATAAATGCATACATACATGTGCACAGGGAGAAAGATGAAAAGAGACAAGAAATAAATAGAAGGAAAAACATGTCTAGAATGAAATGCCTATTTATCTTCCAGAGAAAAGTTTTCAGGCCACAGATCTAACTGCAAGATGCCAGTTTGTTCAATATAAGAGCAGGTCACAGATTTGATGCAAAGTAACTGCACAGTAGCCAGGTAAGAATCAGGCACAGAAGACAAAAACTTACCCCAAAACAAGAGGAAAAGTGGCAGCAGGAGAGCAGCATTGTACGGCTTGGAGGTAGTTTTCTTTAATTCCATGACAAGTGTAAGAGTGGCCGTTCTAAACCCCTCCGGAGAGAGACAGGAGCTGGAGCCCAGCAAGCCCCTCCTGCGGCCACATCACGGTGCGGGGCGGGCTCTCCCCAGGCCGGCGCTCGGGCCGCGCTCCCCGGGCCGCAGCAGCACCGAGCCCGCGGACAGAGCCCAGCGGCAGA